GTCTCCCTTCAAGCAAGGCTTTCAGTACTGTATAGCCTTTAAAAAGATGCAAGAAAAGAACCAAAGAGGAAAAGAACAGTTCACAGTTTAGGTGAGGAAAACATTATTTCCAAAAATAGTAAAAGACTGAAGTGACAAAGCAAAGACAGTCTCTCCTTAATTGATGCCCTTTCACACTCTTGTTCAATACACAGTACAGTTCCACCACAGCGAGGTTTATGGTGCTTTAATTGCATTCTTGATATTAAGTAGAAGAGTTATCAGATTACAACATATTGCTACACAAACCATGCTAACTTTCCTATAACATTCAATTACACTATAAATACCCATGAAATCAGTCCTTTAAAAAAGTAATGCTTTAATGCTACTGACAGTAGGTTTAATCAGCTGATTAGGGACAAACCAATACCAGCAAATACAGTACTGTAATACAGTAAGCCAAAGACACACTTAATTAGCAAACATTGCACTTCATGATAATTGAATAGGATGGTTTCGACCCAGTTGTTCTGTGGTTTCATGAGGTGACAAGACCAATAGTCATAGAGCAAATACAATACAAAGACAACAGCATTCTCAAAATGTCATATTAAGCTGGCAGTAAGAATCTCTTTATTACATCAGCACAAAAAAAGAATGAAATTTTAAAAACAACCCACAACTTTTTATTTTTAAAATAAAAAAATAAAAATAAATTTAAAAATTTTTAAACAAAAAATTTAAAAATAAAAATAAAGATTGTGTCATATAATTTAATGGTGGTTAGATTGTGAAGAAGTCTGTAATTCATTTAACTTTGAAAACAACATGCAAATATACTCCATGAGAAAGGGCTCAATCATTACTCAAGCAGCACTGTTTCTCATATTTGCCAATGTTAGTCTTGTAAAAATATATATGGTCGCATTCTAAATTTGTTTTTAAAAAACTTTTTAACTAAAACATGTTCTGGATCTCTGTAAGTGAATTAAAATGCCAACATGAAGTATTAAGTCGTAGTAAACAAAGCCCATGTCTTGTCTTGACTGCAAATAAGGATGAGCATCAAAACATACGTTCCTGCTGCTTAAGCACTAATATCTTTTATGGAAATTATGAAAACAATTAGTTTCACTCGAGTACAAGCCCAATGGAGTACACCCTCAGTGACCATAAAGAATTTTAACTGTGCAAATCAACAGCAACTCAAACACAGAGGCAAAAACTGTCCTTGTGTTCAGCTGGACACAAAATCAAAAATCTAAAACATTCTGCAAAGACGTTAACTGTAATCTTTCAACATACCCACCTTATTCTGCTGCTGCTATGACCAATGAAACATATCATCCATCTTAATTCCTATTTCAAGGAAATAAAAAACAAACAAACAAAAACAACATAAAGTTCCAATATCTCAGGAAATACATTTAGCAAATGACAGAAAATTGTATTTAATAGAAGAGATAAACATTTTAGGAAGCAGTAAATAAACAAGAATTCTAACATATTCACCCACAATACAACAGCATCTCCTCTGAGGCATACCATACATTAACAGGACTTTAGACTAGAGATTACAACAATAAATATCTGAATAAATATTGTTAAAATAACTGATGAGAGTTCATACATTTCTGATTTTTCTATGCACTTTAAAACTCTGAAGTTTCTTTAATTGCAACTGCAGTAATATTTCCAGTCAGCTTCCAATCCAAGTTCTACATTCAACATTAGGCTATTTCACTTTGACCTGACACCATCTACCTCCTTAGGTGCAAAGAAATACATAAAACCATCACCAGTTTCATACAGACATTTAAAACATTAAACTTCTAGAAATGTTTTACCTGTGCACATAAAAATGCTTGAAACAGTCCAAGTCACTGATGAAGAACAGTCCTCCCACCTAGCACAACATAATCCTTGAACCTGTACATCAAAAACATATGTGTGACAATCACTACAAATTTCTAAGGCTTCACATGAGACAGTCAGAAATATCACATATATGCTCTCCCCGTTCTGATAATCTCACTCAGAAATGAGATACAGTATTTTCTTCACTAAATGCTTTGAAAACCACTTCAACTACAACTTCAGCTACCCCACAATCTATTTCTTTAACAGCCTGCCTAAAAGCTAAAAACATTCGCATAGCACTGGTTTTCTTCTGATCCTCCAGTTATCATCACCCAAGAATATCTTTAGAATTAAATACTAAGAACATTAGATCATTACAAAAAATATTTTAAATATATGACTTGTCATGCACTTTATTTTTTCCTTTTCCTTTCTGTCTTGTGACAAACTCTAAGTTGGAAAAAATCCAATTCTAGCTACTCAAGCAGAAAAAATATGCACTCATCTTTGATGCATTTTGCTTTACATAAAAGTAACTTTGAAAAAGATTAACTTAAACTATTACTAAAAAAACTAGCTACAATCAAGTTACTGAAAAAACAAACAAACAAAACAACTACAGCTCAGTATTTTGATTGCTGAATAGTTCTGTGCAGAAAAAACCTGCACATAAACTACTGTGATCCAAGGGAACTGTGCATTTACCTCACGTTATCCTCCTCTTTCCTTTTTATTAAGGAATAACAACATGAAAGACCACTTTTAATGGCATTTTACAGGTTCAAATAAATTAGTACATGAAAATTCATTACTATAATTAGCTTAACTATGAAGCATTTAAGGGCTAGGCTGTTGACTGAGACTTTAATATACATTAAAAAGCTTCAACAACAGTTATGTTGGAGAAGAAAGGAATTAAGCACAAGACAAACCACATTGATTTTAGTTTAGGTATAGAACTAGGTAAACCTTTTAATAAAGCATGACTTTTGGGCAAAATAAATTGAAACAAGCCAAGCTTTCATACTGTTTCAAATCTGCCACACTGTAGACATTTGCAGTATTTTGAAAACTCTTTTATGCAGCTTTAAAGGACTTCCCTTCTTGTATTACCTATGCCAGACACATTTGATCACTCGGAACCTGGGATGTGCTCCCGATGTCATTATTAAAAGTTGCAATGGCTTCGTAAGCCGACAGGCCTCAGTAAGTTACACACAAACACTACACCCATTTACTGCATCCATTTCTGCAGCCACAGGACAAAACGCCTTTGGCTGTCAGCTCCTTCCAAACCGTAAGGAGCCCGAGAGGACTGCGCATCGTATTTGTACTTTTATGGAAGCAGCAGCAAGGTTACGAAACATCGCGGAGGCCTCGGAGTCAGGAGCTCGGCGCACAGCTCTGACTGACGCTGGCAAGGGCCGCGAGGGGCCAAGCGCTGCCGCGGGACCTGGAGCACCGCTGCCACCCGCGAGGGCTCACGCTCCATGGCCACCACAGAACACAGCGCGGGCTCTACGAGCAACCACTGTGACTTGTAGGAACCGGCCATAGGCGGCCCTTTCTGCAGGTCTTTATTATAACATCAGAACCGGCAGCGGCAGGCGCGCCCTCTCGCAGGCTCCGCACTGGCGGGGCCGATGTCCCGGGCCGGGCTGTGGCACCCCCGGGCCGGGCTGTGGCACCCCCGGGCCGGGGCTCGGTTGGCCGCGCTGGCTCCGAGCTCACACGGCGCCCCCGGCCGAGCGCCGCAGGCCCCGCACCGCCGCTCCCGGGCCCCGCACACACCCCGGCGGCCCGGGGGACGCTGCCGAGCCCTCCGCGCCGCCCGGCGCCTCGGCCGAGCCGCGGGGCCGGCCGTGCCGTACCGGCGCGAGCCAAAGGCCCCGCAAGCGCGGAGCTCCTGCGGCAGCGCCCGGCGTGAAACCCCTCGGGCTCACCGAGTGAGGGCCGGAGGAGGCGCCCGCCCCGCCGGGAGCCACCACCCCTCCGCCTCTCGCTCCCGGCCCCGCGCCGCCAGCCGGCTCCGCAGGCGGGGAGAGAGCGGGACAGCCGCGCCCCAGCGCCGCCCGCCCCCAGCCCGGGCCGCGGCCCCACCGCCGCGGGGGGAAGGAACTTACGAACACCCGCCGTGCCCGGTCCCGCCTCCGCGGCGCGGGGCGGCAGCGTCACCCGCGGGAAGGCGCCGGGGCGGGGCTTGCCGGAGGGAGCGGGGCGGCGGGGCTCGGGCTCGTTCTGTGCCCGGGCTTGGGCGGTGCTGCTCCGGGTACGGGGGGCTCCGGGCTCGGGCACCGCTGTGCTGAGTGAGGCCTTCCCTCCCCGTCCCAACCTGCGCTCCCAGCCGATCCCCGAAACTGATGGTTGTCAGGCAGTGGAATAGGGGCTTCGAGGGGCAAATCAGAAAAAGGAATCTCTAAAAAGGACTCTGCTGGAAAATAAGCTTAAGGGACTTGAAAGTAGTGGGTCAGAGAGGGTGCAGATGGCTGAACATGAGCCAACTTGAAGGCCGGTGGCCTCCGGGCCTATATCAGCAATAGTGTGGCCAGCAAGATGAGGAGTGAGTGTGCTTCTGTACTTGGCAGTGGTGAGGCCATTCTCAAGTACTGGGTTTGGGTTTGGGGCCCTCATTTTAAAGCAAACATTGAGGTGCTGGAGTGTGTCCAGGTTAAGGCAGTAAAGCTGGTGAAGCATCTGAAGGACAAGTCTACTGGAGGAGCAGCTGAGGGAACTGGGGCTGTTTAGTCTGGGAAAAAGGAGGAACAAGGAGAACCTAATTGTTCTTCAGAGCTACCTAAAAGGAGGTTAGAGTGAGGTGGGAGCCAGTCTCGCAAGTAAGAAGTGATGGGAGAAAAGGAAGTGGCCTCAAAGTTGTGACAGGGAAGGTTTAGTTTGGATATGAAGCAAATGATACTGACTATCCTCACAGCCTCACACAGCATGTACAAGTAATCAGGCCCAGCTAGCATGGGTTTATTAAAGGCAGGTCCTGATTGACTGACCTGTTCCTCTGTGACAGGGAGACCCACTTAAAGGATGAGGGAAAGGTTGTGGATGTGTCTACCTGGACATCAGTAAAGCCTTTGACACAGTTTCTCACAGCCTTCTGGAGAAACTACTGCTCATGGCTTGGACAACTGTGTCCTTCATTGTGGCCAGGCCTAGAGAGAGTTGGTGAATGGAGCTACATCCAGCTGGTCACTGGTTACCACTGGTCAGTGGTGTTCCTCAGGGCTCAATGTTGGGGTCAGGCACGTTTAATACCTTTATTTATGATCTGATTGAGGGGACCAAGAACACCCTCAGTCTGCTTACTTGGATTGAGCATAAGTGTTGGTCTACTGGAAAGTTGGAAGGCTCTGCAGAGGGGTCTGGCCATGGATCTGCAGAGGGATCTGACCTCACCATGGAGTGAGGCTAGTGGTAAAAGGTTCAAGAAGGCCAAATGCTGGACCCTGCACTTGGGTCACAACAACTCCTGCAGTGCTACAGGCTGGGGGGGAGTGTCTGGAAAACTCCCTGGTGGAAAAGGACCTGGGAGTATTGGTGGACAGCAGCTGAACATGAGCCAGTGAGTGCCCAGATGGGCATCAGTCCCTTCTGGCCCCATCAGGGGAGGGTTAGATTGGATATTGGTAAGAATTTCTTCTCCAGAAGGGTTATTAAACACTGGAACAGGCTGCCAGGGGCAGTGATGGAGTCACCATCCCTGGAGGTATTTAAAAGATGTTTAAAAAGGTGTTTAAAAGACATTGGGCTTAGGAACATGATATAGTGGTGGACTTCATAGTGCTGTGTTAACAGTTGGACTAGATGATCTTAAAGTCTTTTCCAATCTAAATTGTTCTATAATTCTATGGTTCTCTGAAAGGAAAAATGAAGGTGTGACAGAAATAGGATAATACCGAATTTAAGAGAAGGCTGAAAGGAGAAGCTATTTGTGCAGGAGAGAGGTGGGAATGCATAGAAGAAAGAAGGGGGATTCATAATGTGTAGGTATGAAAAAAGAACCAACATTTAGAATTAAAAAAAAACAACCTCTTTTCTTGACCTCCTTCTAACCATCTCTTCTACCATGGAGATGTTACTTGTGGGGAAGAAAAGGACTTCTGTCTGCACCACTTCGAAGTTTATTGGACATGGAGGCTACATCCTTTTCCAGTCTCATCCTGTGATGCAGGACTGTCTCCATCTTCACGAGCTCCTCTTGCATGTGTTCTGCCAAGACACCCCTATCTCCCAAGAGCCTGCACTCAGCACAACTTTCTACCATAGCCCTTTGCTGGAAGAAGGGGTGACAGGGATCCCTTAGCCACAGCTGGAATAAAGAATCCGTGGAAAAGCATTGACACAGCTTCTGGGAAGTGGGAGTAAAGTAAAGAAGGAAGTGGTGTTAAGCTAAGAAATTAATTCTGATGGTTTTTGCAATCATGTATTTAGCATCACGATGCTGTCGTGGTAAGTCCAAAAGCACCAAAAGTGGAAAAATAAATCAGTGTGGGGAAGATAGAAGGAATTTGGAAAGTCCTCCAAATATTCACATTTCTTTCCATGTACCTAAGGCTGAAATTTGAACTGTATAGGTATAAGCAGTATGCTAACAATTAGAAATATATTTAAAATGTTTGTGCAGTTTTCTGAAAACCCATTTCTGCAGCTTGCTGCAAAGTGAGAGCTGAGGAAGCAGATATCCTGAGTACCTGACACTTTTTTCTAGTGTAGCCAAACAATAAAAAGAAGTTAAAAAATTAGGCTCTTTTTGAACTCAGATTTCCTGAAATTAAATGTGAATTAGAATTAGTGATTCTGAACATAAGCACAGTTTTGTGAATACAGTAACTGCATCTTGGCAAATGAAATTTATGGTGATAAAACAGGTGGACTGGCTCAAAGTAATTTCAGAACATTTATGGTATGATACTTTCCTTCAATCATGTGTTCCACTTGGAAGTTCTGTATCTGTATCTGAAATAACTGTTCTGGTGCTTCAGAATACTTCCTTTAAAAGTCATTGGCAATTTCAACAGGAACTGAAGTTTAAAAATAAACATACTTATTCTTCACCTTTATGTACCACTAAAGCTGAAGTGGTTTGCAGTTACAGAGCTTATCAAATACAGTGAATTTGAAGGTGAGTCTTCCAAATGGTGTTAAATAATTATATTTCCTTTCGGATTTATACAAGTCCTAACTGTTACTTAGGCAAAGTATTACTATATGCATTGTATGTACTGCCTTTCTGAACCACAGATGTGGCATAATGAGCATACTATGGTTCTTGATATGTTCCGTGCCACTTGGAGCAACACAAAATATACTTTCCAATATGCACATATTGTGTTTGTGCCTTTCCCAACTATTAGTTTCATTTAAAAATAAAATTAAATGCTACAGTAGATTTATCTGTTGCTGGTGAAAAAGAAGAGAGATATGATGACAATATAAGCTTAATGTATAGACTATTTTTACTATTCACAGAAAATATCAATAATTTCTATCAGAGAGTGTATTAATTTTCCTCAAGCCTTACTTCATGATATACTGTAGAAACTTAGTAGCAGTGATAATTAATGTCAATCTGGAATATCAAGTTTTAAAACAATACTGGGAAGATAATTCATTGTGACTAGTTGAAGAAAATATTTTTGGTGATGTGGTATCTCAACATCTGAGCTTATAATCAGTAGTACTGTTTCCTGAATATTTTTCAGAAAAGTGTGTCAGTGATCTCAATTTTATTTTACAGGCCTTTGGGAAGGAGTTTTTCTTAGAAGTGCAGTAATAGAATGAGTTCCTGCTTAGAACTGAAAGTAAGCAGACCTTAGTCACCAATAAATAATACCATAGGAAAAAATGAAAGCTGTGACATCTGATGAAGATAATACTTTCTCTTTTTACAGCCTACAGTGGACAAAGAGCTACTGTTTTAAAGATTACACTGGTATTGATTTAGAAGAGTGGGAGTGTATTATCAGATAGAATAAACTGAAGAGTATACCTACATGATTAAGAATTTCATGATGTATAGTATTAATGTGCACTACTTAGAATTCAGAGTAATAAAAAATACAAAGTTGCAATGCTCATATTAATTTTTTTTGTATTTAGCAATGTGTCATATTTTCAGAATTAAATCAATAGAGGTGTTTGCACAGCAGTGCTTTTGCCATGTATCAGTGCAAGTGGAAATGCCAAAACATGGTCATAAAGAAAGGAACCACTGTGTTCTGTGATACTGTGAACTGGAGCCTTTTTGGAGACAGTAGCAGCAACAAACAACTGTAATACTTCCCACCCTCCCATAATCTGTGAAGTTTCAGAACATTGCTCATTACCTTACTGTTCTCTCTTGCACTTCAGTCTGCATGGAGGAATTTTACATCACCAGTAAAGAAAATCCTCCCACATGCAGTAAGGTATTACTGCATAGTACAAGTTTGCTTTAGACCAAAAAGAATCATTTAGGTTGATGTTGGTTTCGGTAGTTAAGTTTGTAATACTTCAGAACACTGTTTTTTAAAGATTATGAAGGTACTTAAATCCACTGCACTGGTGCACAGACTCAAATAAGTTGGGAAACTTGGACAATATCAAACACAAGCTTTGAAAAACCTCTTAGTACCAGACTTCTCCTGCTTCCCACAGATTAGGCCTCCTGCTGACTATTTGTACTTTTTAAATGTGTAAGAGATTTAAGCTTTAATGTCTGCACCTCAGTTCACCTACCTTTGAAACAGCAGTGGTAATTCTGACTTAAATATTGTGATGATACATTAATAAATATGAGCAAAACTCTTTGAAGTTGAAAAATATAATGAGATTTAAGTACATTCCCTTTTGTTGTGATTAACCTGTCAGACATTTAAGTACTGAAACACTGCTTTTGGAATAGAAAAAAAAAAAAGGAGAAATGACAACTAAGATAATAAAGAAGCCAAGATCCAGATCAAATAAGCAGAACAAGCAACTAAAATACATACAGGGGAAAAAATACAGGGGACAGAGAAGATCAAAATTTATAGCTCAGAAAAAATGAGAAGAAATTATCTGAAACAAATGCTGCTGGCAATCAGAAGGGTTGTTAATATGCTACTAAGAAACACCTTTGCATAAAAGTGACAGTGAATGCATATTAAGACAATGTGTCAGAGAAGTCTGGGCAGCAGTTTAACTCCCAGAGTCTCAAACAGATCAATGCTGCCAAGTTCTTGTTTCTCCTCCTCTAAGAAGAGCCTACAGCACTACCTCAGATATATGAGCTCAAGTACCTCTGGTGTTAGGGGATGGCCAAATGGAGATTTTCAGATAATGGGTCTTATCATGAAACAGACTGGACAAGAAGACTGAGACTGGGCAGAGTCCCATAAGTGAAGTAAAAAGACTTTGGTCTGCTGAAGTGGGACAAGATAGACTTGCAGGAGTAGGTAGAAGGATGAAGGACAACTTCATGGACAGCAAACAGAATAATCTTGCACACATGAACTTGCCCTATTCCAAATCCTGGAATGGATTAGGGATGCTTCATTTTAATATTTCCCCTTACAGTAATATATATCTGCAGATTAACGGCCAAAAGCACAGAAGATGGGAATCCATCACTACGGGTAGTCAGCACAGTAAAACAACAGCAAAACAGTAAAACAACAGCACTCTGTATGGTTCATCACCCATCTGGCCAGAAGGAGAAAGTAAATACACTGAAATCACTCATTTAGTCCACAACTTGCTCTATTTTTAAAAAAAAAAGTTGGACACACATAACTAAGGACTGTATCATCAAGAGGATGAAAGCCAAAATAAGGATGTGATTTCTCAACCTTCTAAAATTCTTTCAATGTAACTTTTGTGTTGGGAAGGCCAGAATTTATGTCCTTTATTATTGCTTTATGGAAGACAGTAGGAACAAATATTAAGTATTTATTATCCTTCTTTTGAGGTGACACTTTCAAAAGCTTCTAAGAAATTGTTAAATAAGAAAAATCTCTCCTTGAACTGATTTTGTACCAGCTTAGGTTGACTGATGTTTCAGAGGCGGCAATAGATTTCAGCAACATGAAAGACTTGACTGGTGATGCCAAATAAAAATTATTTTTAAAACCCACAAGCTGCTTGTTCTAAAGTTTTCATTTTGTGCCCAACAAGTTGATCTCTGTCCTTCAAGGTAGTAAAATTCTGTGACAAGCCAAGAACACATAGTTCTTGTCTCTTTTTTTGTTTTTCTTAATGAGAAGCCAAGGAAACACACATGACTGAGAGGAAACCTGCAGGCTTGCAAGCAGGAAGAAGCAAACTCCCTTCTTTCAGTATCACGAAATGTTTTTTACAATGACTGTGGACTAAAAAGCCTCTACAAAGCCTCTAGAAAGAACTATAACTTTTTGAAGGATTAAGAAAAATGCAGAACTTCTGAAAGTGAAAAAATAAGATAAATATATACAATTATTTTTTTTTAATGAGATGGTAGAAAAAATGAAACTATACTTAAAAATAAGGGGGAAATAAGCTTTTGCAAATAGAATAAAGAAGGTGACTGGAAACTGAAAATAAGCACAAGATTAAATGGACATGACAGAAATTAGTGATTCAGAAATAGTAAAGATACTGGTTCGTATTCATTTAGAAAAGAATTTCCATAAAGGTTGGACAACTTAGGAGTAACAAAAGGTTTATAGAAATAGCTGTTCCTAAAAAGCAGTCAAAGAAACATTTGAAAAATGTGCAGAGTTGTAAGTCCCTCAGCCAACCCAGCTGCTATGCATCCTAGGGGATAAAAGGTATTTGCTGTGAAACTTCCTGTAGCGCTGTCAATGAAGCTGAAAAGAGGGACAAATACTGGAAGACTGAAAAAAAATCAAATATGACCTCTTTTTTTTTCAATGAAAGCATAGAATGCCCTTTGTAACTGCAATCCATACTTGACCTCTATGTATCTTATTCTGGCAATGTTGTATAGCAAGAGTATGCTGTGTTCCAGAGACAAGGATTAAATTGCTTTTGCTTAGAATTTTGAGTTAGTTCATGAAGGTGTTATGCTGACAATGAAGAGATGCTTTGTAAAAATAAACTTTTGAATGAAGACTGCAGCTCACAGAGAGACCATTCAAGGCAGTGAGTAGAGCAGGAGCCCTGCACAGACAGCCATGCTTTTAACACCTGATGATCTGTGCCACAGATACACTGTTGGCTTTCTACATGGTTTAGCACATGTTCTCATGAAAGTCTTTATTTGTGTGTTTGTTTTGTAATATGTCTCTTATGTAATACAAGGAAGTGTCCCTCTGTTTCAGTTTCATAATGCAGAAGACTTGCACATTGGGACTTTGCTTCTTGCAGATGATTGTGCCAGGGTACAATCTGCACAGGACCTTCTGGGAGTGGCACACATGCAGCTGTGTCTAGCAGAGCTGCAGCACTGAGAATGAGCAAATTGCTCTTGAATCAGACCATTGGTTTTAATGAAAATTGCAATCTGGATTTGTTTTAAACCATCCTATAGGTATCTGCAGAGTGTATGGGAATGGGGTGCATGGGAGACTGGACTACAAAGAATTTTTTGTCATTTTAATCTCAAAAAATTTAAAATAGTCCTTTAGTACCTCCTGAGGCAGTTCTTGCTATTTTCTCTCTTTCATTTCAAATAATTAATTTTAATACTTTATCTGTATGCCACTCAGTAAGCAAGAAAACTATATTCTCTTTTTCCAGCTAGGCAGTGAGGCAAGGAAGCCTTAATGTTTTTTGCAGGGTTTCTCAGAGAATCCCAGCCAGTCTGTTCTGCCCAGACTGACATTTAGCATGGAGGCTTCTGTTAGAGGCAACCCATATAGGAAAAGGATTCTGGTGTGAAAAAGCTGAGTGTCACTGAGCTACTTGCAGTCTTTTCTGGATTTTTTTTTATTTTCCTTGTCTGCTCTTTATAATATAGATATAAAGTTGTGTTTGTTGTTGTTTTCTTTTGCCATTACTGGCAGTCTGCAATTTCTACATCCCTTGTCTTCAGTGTACTCCACTACACAACAGAGTTATAAATACATCTAAATTTATTTGGTCGACTTCTGTGTTTATACAGTTCCCACTGAAGTGAGGTCACTGAACTAGAGAACTGACTCTCCAACTGGTTCTCAAACCCTTGTAGCAGCTCACGGTCATTCTTGGCACGTGAAGCATGACCTCTTGTCCCACAGTGGCCAGGCATATTACCAAGAGGTTTTATCATAGTCACTTAATCCACATTTAATTAGTAATATTTTTTTTCACAGCAGTGCATCTGCGTGGCAGTTTTATTTTTCATTTCCATTAATAGCTCTGTGGTGTACAGATAAAAGTGAGAAATCAGAGGTTCATGTAAATGCTTACGTTTCTGGAAAACTATAACATGGGGGGGAAAAAATCCTGAAAACTGTAGTCAGATTTTATGTACACCTATTCCCCAACTGAATTTAAAAAATCATGGGAACCAGCTTCAGTCACTATGAAGTATCATGTGCTGAAACCTCATCACATCGACACATCACCAGCTAAGTATAGAGTAAACTTCTGGATGCAATCAAGTGACCCATGGCCTTGGCAAAGATCTCACTTGAAGTCTCATGGGGAAATAATTTCTGGCTCTTAATTTAAGACAAAGCCAAAGGAATTGTGCCCTTCAAGTGCTACAGTTAAAACCCAGAAATCCCACTTTGATTTGAATAGTGAGCTTCTCAGTTGCTAGCATGTATGTGTGTAAGAGTTAGTGAGGCACAGATTTCCTGCTATTTTGCCCTTAATGTGGAAAAATCAATCACCCTCTTTAAACAGCAGACTTCAGATAAAACATGCAGTGCTCAGTCCTTATGAAAAGGCTCTCTTTTTCCAAGACTTTGATAAGAAGAGGAAGTTAAACAGAATTTTAACCTTTTTTTGTGAGTACTTTTGAAGTGACTGAGGATCTGATTTTTATTTGCATCAAGGCTTCTGCATTAAGCTTGAAGAACCTTAAATGGGCATAAGCTGTAATTAGGAGCAAGTCCCCTGTCTCTCCTAGCTTAAGGTATGTAACGATTCTGAATCTTTAATGTCTATAGATGCAGCTCCAGGGGAGCACCTCTGATGTCCAGAGATTCAGCCCTAGGGAATAGTGACAGCCTGGCAACAGCCCAGAAATATGATTAAACAAAAGTCTGTCCTCTGAAACCCCTAGAAATCAGTATGTTTAAAAGCATTAAAAATTTATTATTATTCTTTATTCAGAATCCGTAACACACATAAATATGAAACCAACTGTTATAGTTTTCAGTCAGCAGTGAAGAAGCCTAATAATTTTCATAGTTTCTTATCAGAGTATTTTATATAGATGATACATTTACTGTTACTTTATTTTTCATATGTATTATTTGTATATAGGTATATTAAAAATGTGTTTGTGAATAAAGTCCACAAAGAAAAGCTATAGCTGCTTTAAAATAGAGAATCCAGTTTACATGTTTTCTTTATGATTACAGTGAGTACATAATTTCAGAAGCTGTGTGGAGGAAAATTATCTTAGTGCCTTGTGATCCTCAAATAGAAAAATTATACAAAGGCAAAACCTGACTTTAGCTTTAAAACCATGAATAGTATGT